ACATAAAAAACTCCTTTCCACCCGACTGTGGTTTAGTAGAAAAATTCAGAATTGAATTAAAATCATGTTAAAACCACAGTCAGGTGGAAAGGATGTTTTTTATGTCTTCCACATCTTTCACACTGTCTTGAATTTTGCGAGCGAATTTTCTGTTTTATTTGTATTTTTACTATTGTACACTGAAGAAGGCCTGATGGCAGATCGAAACGTTTGATGTAAACAATTTAATGAATATATCTTAACCTTTGCACTAACCAGCATTATGGCTCTTTATTACTTTTGCCTTTTTTCACTATTTTGAACTTTTATTAAAGGAAAAATATCTTTATTTTCTTTAAACACTTTCTTTGCAAATGAGAGAGCTGAAGTAGTGATTACTTTCAACGTTGGTTAATACTAACCAATCGTTAGTTTTATAAAATTAACCTCGAAATTTTTCATATTTTTTCATTTTTTGTACTTTTATATAATCTATTTCCGCGACTACAACTCCATTTTCAGTATATTTAAAGAATTTACATTACAAAACATGCAACGAATAAAGAATTTTAGCAACTGTGCGCGTTTGGCTTCAAAATGAAGAAAACTGAATTAAAGCATGTAATGGCAGATTCCAGGACATCTGTCAAATTTTTTTAATTATTCGTAATGTATGCTTATTTATGAAATTAATTACGTTAAAGATTATTTGTATACTATGTATAATTATATATACGGTTGTATACGCAGTTGTATACGCAGTTGTATACTTACAATACTGTCCTGGAAAATGCCGTTGGACTTATACATATGAGTTGCAGAAAATATATACGTACATCCAAATGTATAATACAAAAATTTTTTATAATTTGTTGTTACAAGATATAAAAAATTTTTTTATATATTTATATATATCGTAGATATCTTGTAACAACAAATTATAAAAAATTTTTGTATATATTTTTTCCTATAAGGAATAAATAAATATGTATAATATATAGTATTTGTATATATGTATATATAATATATTTATTTATATGCAAAGTACAATAATGTATACAGTATATAACAAATGTAAAACTTGATTAAAAAAAGTAGTGGTCAGAACATTCGCCCGGCAAGCGGAAGACCCGGGTTCAATTCCCGGCTTAGCCACTCGCGCCCTGATATTTTTTCTCTCTTCCTTTCTCTCCAATAATTCCTATATGTAAGTTAAAAGTTTCTCGATATATGAGAACAATATACTTATAATTTCGTACACATTAATTATCTCGATCTGAGATCGGTGTACAATCTAACTGTCTCTTGTAGACTAATTTATTAAAAATTCTTATAAAAAAAATTAAAAATTTAGCACTAACATCCTGCTACGGCTCTTGATGCCATTCTATTATATTTGTTGATTAAAAAAAGTTTGCTTTATTAAAAGTCACATTACACTCAATTTTAATATATAGCATATATTGCATATAATATATACCATTACAAATTATGTGTTTAAAATAATAAAGTTTTTACTTTTATTATTTAAATTGTTTACATTAATTATTTTTGTTATTTTAAAGTTAAGATACAAGAAACCATTAATAATACGCTAGTTGATGAATTTTCTTGATAAAATTGATAAAAATATGATATTTATTAATGTCCCACTGTAGAAGTTGCTCGTTGTTCGATCAGAATAAAATCTATAAAAAAAAATATTAACAGCTTTTATATAAATAGTTATTTATTGGCCTTTAAATAAAATCAATTTATTATAAAATGTTCGAACATAACTTTGGTTATTAGCATGTATTGCACTTTTACAAATATGATGCATCCTCAATTTATAAAACTCTGTAACAATTTTTGTAATTAGATAAATGATATGCTCTAAAGTATTTTGATCATGCTTCTAAAGTGTTTTGATCATGATTTATCGATAACTTTAAAAAAATTTGCTTATTTAAAAATTTATTTATAATATCTTGTTCCAACCTTTCTTTTAATGATGTCGTTAATAATTTGTTGCATGAGAAACTGCGCAATATTATTTCACAATCTATACAAATTTGAATAAGGTCATTACTGAGATACATTAAGCCGCCCAGATCTTTAAATGCCAAAAATGTATTTTCTACATAATCTTTACTTTCAACAACCGATGAACAGTCTGTACATTCAATAGAAAAAATTTTTTTGCAATTTTTGGACAACCGATGTTAAATTTTCAATTCGACGTTTCTGTTGATATGTCACTTTTTGTAATTGTGTTATTTGTTTTCTCAGTAACTTTTCATTTGTAGCCATTCCCATAATTTTCCTTTTTATATGACTTTTTCTTGAAGTATCATCTGGCTCTGGATAATAAGACCAAGAAGACTTGTTCTTCTCTTTACTTGAAGTATTAGGAAGATTATTTGCTTGCAACACTGATTGCAACATTTCATTAGAAGTTGATGGCTCTTTATCCATATTAATAGTATTTACTTCCTGAAATAAATATCTTATTAGTTACTTTTTGAGTAATTTATGTTCTCGTAAGACATTTTATATATAATATACAATATATATATAAGTTATTCATTTACTTTAAAATCTAATTTCCAATTTGAAATAAATTAAAAGTAAAAAAAACTGATTATAAATGTTGTACATATATGTACTTTATATGGTATATATAAGACTTACCATTACTTGTGGTACATAAGTTTCAGTAATAAGTTTTTTGGAAAGCATAGTTATTTTGTGCGCTCTTTTCTGTTTTTGTACCTATAAAATACATATATATTCATTAATGAATTAGTTCATATTAGAATATATAATAACATATTATAAATATCTATTATAATTACAATATATGTGTTTACATACCTGTTCAATTCTTTTAAATTTAATAGTAGGAACAGCCATACTAATTAATTTAGTGATTTTTCCTGATCTGTCAAAGCAGTCAGGACAAAAGTGCTTAGAGCATAATTTGTTGTTTGTTAATGGCTGCTAGTTTGGCATATTCATAAAATCAATCCATTTTTGCCGTTGTAATGGATGTTTTGAAAAACTACATTAAATAATATTAATTATAATTAAATCACTAATAATTAATATTTATATTTTAATTTACATTAAAATGCATTATATATAATATTTTATATACATACATATATGTATATTATGTGATAAAATTTTACATCCCATTTTACATAATAATAATATACTACATTTCAGCAAAATGTTTATTTTACAACTATTCGAAATTATCTGTGCTGAAATTAGATTATTCCTCTAAATTTAAAAGAATAATACAACTTTAGCTTAGAAAACTTCAAACAGCTGCTGAACATTTATTATACATAAGATACAACAAAGTTAACCTATAAATTATGCTTTTAATTCTATTCAATTTTAAATAGAATATATTATATACTTACGTAGAAAATGTTTCCACACGTCCTTTTGTTTTTGCAAAGCCACATAAACAACAACTAACCATTTTATTCTTACTTAATAATTAAAATGTAAAATATTCTTAAATCTGTCACTCTCAATAGGTCTGTTCTTTTTCATTAGTCTCTGCTTGATCTCGACAACATGACGTCACAACTTCGATTCATGGTATCGATAATCGTAATTGGTTCAGTTTTATGACGTCACATCCTTCGCACTGCTAAGAAAGGATTTTCTCTTCTATGTTTCTTCTTGGTATTCTTTATTCAATGGTGTATCCCCTCCAATTATGCTGCTTGCTAGCTCATGTCTCAAATCTGATCACTAGTCGTGAGCAACAGTATTATGAAATTTTAAGAATTATTATTTCATACACAAGAATCGTAAAAATAATATTATATAATTTCAAGAATCGTGTCGTGTTACATTTGTGATACTATATTTATCAATTGGTGTGTATCTTGGTATGTGCATATTTTATATTTCTTTGTAATTTGACTAGAATGAACAAAGAGGTTAATATTATTTTCATCAATTCCACAAATCGCAACCTGATTTGAATTACACCACTCCAACAGTGGTGAAAGAATTTGGAATGTGTTTATATCTTTATTTTTAACCGATTAATTTGTCCTCCTTTGATATTTATCTTAAATCTTATTTATTCATTACATTTCGGGATGTCTTAACTTACTCAGGTAGCACATGTTCGTTTCATATACGTTTCCTAAACGTATATGAATATATTGGATGCGTGTAGGAAACGTATATGAGACGAACATGTACTGCCAGAGTTATTGGCTGAAATTAAAATGTAGTGGTTTTTACTTGACACATACGCACTATTTAACAGAAGATTTGCAATTCCGTAAAGAAGTATTAATACAGTATTTTTTTTTTAAGTATAATTTGATTTCTTTATTATCATATATTTTATTTATTACTGTTTTGTCATAAATGCAACTCTCAGGAATATCAGGTCCTAAATTAATTCTAAATAAAACTAAATAAAATGTGAATTTAAAAAGATTTTATTTAATTTTGCTTAGAATTAAATCACAGATTCCTGGGATTTATATTTCTTACCTAACCCTAACCTTAAAAGATAACTATACGATAACTAAGCAAATACTAGTAAATAATATTATTTTACATTTTATTTGCACATTATAACATCCAAAAAGCAGTTTGTGACAATTTTATATTGCGTTATATTTATATGATATAACTGCAATATCACGTGAGTGGAAATTTACAATTAACCTGTACATGCAATATACGTGTTATATTGCGTGTTTCACTCTGTTTTTTTAAATTTACAAAAGTGTTCCAATTCTAGCATTTTCATGTAGATTTTTGTAGCATTTTTTAAATTTGTATAGAATTTCATCAATTCTGGCAGTTATTTTTTGTAGTTTTTCGTAATATATTTTTATTTTTTTAGAATTTTGTAGAATTTTTTCCGTCAGGGTGTGTGCTTATACAAGCAATCGGTTGACGAAATTTTAAGACCAAACGATTAGTGCTACGTTATGTTATCAGCAACATGATAACAACTGATGGTTTGTCGTTCCGTCTAGAGCAGTAATGAGCAATCCGCGGCCTGCGGGCCGCATGCGGCCCTCCAACTACTTACCTGCGGCCCGCCGAAACGTTGCACTTTATTTAGCTAAAGTATAAAAATTTTAGCAAAAGACACAATCTATTGTCAATTATATTGTAAATTATATATCTATTGTAAATTTAATTTTTTTATTAATATATTTAGGTATTTAATATTGCGTTCATTGCGGCCCATATAGAATATTAGGTTTTCAATTTTGGCACACTAAGGAACAAAGATTGCTCATCACTGGTCTAGGGCATGATGGCAACATGACAGAAACAACACAAATATAATAATTCCTATTCGCTATCGCGTATATGCTGTCAATGTATGATGTTTTTTAATTGTAGCTTGTTATCAACAAAATATTAATAATATGAATTTGTTATACGTTAACAACAAAGAGATAGCATATAATTCTCGAGATTTAATGTACAAAGTTCGTTTGCTTACCGCTATGCGACGTACTATGCAGCATTTATCCCGTATTCAAGTTTTTTTTTTCATGAGAATATATAAAAGCTGCAAAGCATAGCTAGTAACATTAGAAATGTAATATATTTTTCTATTAGTTTAATTTTTTATACGATCTCCACACAAGGAATTTATTATATAATATATGGAGCATTCTTTCTCAACTTTACACCCATGCTGCCCATTTTCTATTTGATCTAAAAATTTTTGAAAAAATCTTAAAATTTACAGAAAAATGTAAGCTTTCCAATGGCGCGTGGCAAAATTATCAAATTCAATTGAATCATACTTAAAATTTCAGAAAACCGAAAAAAAATAATAAAAACGGTAATTATTCAAGTGTAGCGATTATTCATTCGACGTTTTTCTCTTCCAATTAACACTTTCGAGTACTCTGTTTATCTGTGCACTGTCACATAAGTCTAAACTAAAATGGCGGATCTAATATGGCCGCCAAAAATTTTAAAAATTTAAGAAATTAACAGATTTTTGTAAAACTTGGTATCAAGGGGTTTTTCGGGTTACTGTATACGAGTCTAAAGTTATCTTTCGAAAATACAAAATGGCGAATCCAATATGGCCACCACAACATTTTGAAAATTTTTAGAAATTAACGAATTTTTATAATCTTGGTATCAGGGACTTTTTCGGGTTGCTAATAACGAATCTGAAGTCGCATTTTGAAAATTCAAAATGGCGGATCTAATATGGCAACTAAGAATTTGAAAAATTTTTTAAAGTAAGGGAGTTTTATAAAATTTGAACAGAGAGTTTTACGGCCAGCTAAATACAAATCTTAAGTCGGATTTCGAACACTGAAAATGTCAGATCTAATATGAAAACCAAAAATATTGAAAATTTAGGAAATTGATAGATTTTTATAAAACTTGATACTAGAAATATTTCTGATTCTGATGTCGCCTGAGCTCTTACCCTCTACTTTTTTAAATCTTGATATGAAAAAGTCGAACTATTACCAGCATTGGAATATTTCTTAATCACCGTTTCTTTGTTGATTGGGACAAAACAGTGATTTTTCAGAATCTCTGGAACTGGTGGAGCTACATCAAATCGTTTTTTCAAAAATCTTTTTGTCTTTTGGTGCTCTTTGTCATTATATGACAGTATACTAATACTTTTAGAATTTTTTTGAGCCCAGTCAACAAGTTTCTCAAATGAAAGAATGGCATCGTTCGGTTTACTAAAGAGGCTAGCTCGCATAGCTTCCCTTTTGAACACAGCACCTACACCGTCTGAAGCACCTTTACAATGTGCAGTGGCATGATAGTTCCATTCCGCTGCAACACCAAAATCCTCTTCGTGATGCATTAGATTCATCATCTGATATTTATTTTTAAAATGCTGTTTTGCCCCATCGCTAAAGTAGATTACTCTTCTTAGCACAGGAATTATTATTTTCAATTCAGGAATCAGCATCTTTTGTACAGTATATACAGCAGCTGTGTCATGAAGTGTACTATCCGACAAAAAAATAAAACTTTTGTGTTCAAGTTCTAACTCTTTTTTATAGTAACACACGACAGGAAAGACAGTACATTGTGAATTATTAAAATGGAACGCCTGCGATGCATCTTGCACAACATACTTGTAATTCTCAGAAAAATCTAATACTGCAAGAACTTCACCTTTTTTTAAATTCTCTTTCTTCCTGATAGAATCGAGATTGTTCTTTTGCAATGAAAGAATGAGGTTTTAGAATGATAAATTTGTCACAAAATTCATCGACAAATTCCGACGACGGAAGAATTTGCGTCTGAAGAGTTGATCTGTCAGTTGTTGTCCAGACACTGAACTGTATGTGGTGAATACCGTTCTCATCTAAGAGTTCTTTCAAATGTTTTTTTAGTTCAATAATACCAGGACATTTACTGCATTCACCAATATAACAATTTTCATCAAGATTTTTGCACACGATTTGGCGTAAGCAATCTTTATAATCATGTAAAATCACATTGGAATCTTTAGTAAGATTATTTAAATTGACAGTCAATCATCAATTTGCAATTTTGATGTATCGTACAGACACAGACCGAATGCGTACCATTCGCACCAGCAAGTATACAATGTTTTGGTCGGAGTTGGGCAAATTTACTAAAACTAACATGACAGTCAGGATGGCATTTACTATAAATATCATAAAGACCTCTTAAGTCTAGAAAGGAGAAGACGTTTCTGAATCAAATCTCTGCCCTCGTCATTTTTTACTGAAACCATATCTTTCATACCTGGCATGATTCTGCTATTTTCGTCACTATTGTAAAAATCTTTAATTCGTGTAACAGTACTTTCCGGCAATGGTTTACCATTCTTAGCAGTTGTTTCTGCTAAAACGCCCTTAGATGCTTTCAATTTTCTAGCTTTTTTTGCAAAATACCTAGAACAGTTGAATTCCCGAGAAATTTGACTTACAAGGGGAGGACGCGGACTTCGGGTCACCAATTTCAAAGAAATTTTTATATGGTATAGTACTCTATCAGAAGAATACTTTAATAAAAGGATAGGGCGCAACGCTCAGCCGTTTTCGAAAAAAATCGATTTGAAGTTTATGGCGTCCCTTATATCCGGTCCTGTTGAATCAATTGTCGAGATGGCGGCGTAGCTCGGGCACT